TAAAAGAAAATGGACTTTAGAAGAGTTGGTAACACATGCAATATGAAATAGCTTCCTCATAATTAAATAAATAAATACCAAGCCCACATGGGTTATGGGCACATTGGCCAGATTAAGAATTGTAGAGGTGAAAATAAACAAAAATGTGAAAGAGTATGCCTCACCACGAACAAAAATGTAAAGATTATTTGAGTGTATATTTAATTTAGAATCATATTTTATAAATAATAAAAACATGCTATTGGTAAAAGATAAAGAGATAAAGTAGTAGACTTTATAACACATGTAAAATGCATGTTGTTAGACTGTTTTTGGTGTTGGATCCTCTCTGTCCGTGTGAATATTATCAATGTTTTGAATAATTTGAACCATATCAATACTTATTGTAAAATTTTATATTAAAAAAAATAATTCTATTAAATTAATTAATAATGATACAATCATATCAAATCTTTGAACAAAACAATCTACAACCAAAAAAAAACAAGTGAATCAACACAATAGGGATTTATTATACAAAAAATGCTTCATTGAAAAATCTTAGATAAAATCTTTATTGTTTTTTCTTAATTAAATCTTGCATATTCGATGACTATAACAATTTAGATCACTAGCTACGTCTTGTAACATGAATGATCTAAATTCTTCAATCATCAATATACAATACAGTTATAATCCTGTTAATAAATAGTGTTGAAAGTTTTACATTAAATAACATGAATTAGTTTTATTATTGTTGTTGTCATTATTATTATTATTATTATTTTCTCCTTTATGTTTATATGTATATATATATATATATATATATATATATTAAATTTTGAGATTTGATATTAAAATTTATTTTTTAAACTATCAAAAGCTTCAAAGTCTTTACATTGCAAGGATTATTATCTAAAGCTTATTAAGGTTTGTTTGTGGCATTGGAAATTTGAAATTAGATGGTTGGAACATACTTTAGCAGAATAATTTGTTTATTTGGAAGTATATGGATCATATATAATTTTTGGATTTTATTATTATTATAAAATAAATATAATTATTGAATGTGTTTAAAAAGTTTATGACAAATTAATGAAATTGAAAAATGCTTGATTGAACATACATTTTCGAGTTTTTATTCAATATCTGTAGTTCATTTTGAATTTATGCAGTTCCCATGTTAAAGTTGGCTATTCATAGCTAAAAAAAATATGATTTCAAACCAAAATCTAATAATCTAGCAACATAGACTTTTCAAGAGTATTACTTTATTTACAAAGCTATTCATTAAGGATCATTACAAACAATTTAAATTATTAAGCCGCATGTTGAATCCAAAGGCTACTTTTAATGTATAATTATGTGATCAACTTATTTTGCATACTAAATTACCATGATTGATAACAGAGTATTTAACTATTCACAAATTTATACCCAATATAATCTATACAGGTAACTTAATGTTTTTAACCACAGTCTGTAAAACCACACTTTGAGCTTATTCAGGAGTTGTTACAGAATCCCAGTCAAAAAGAATTATAAGTAATTGTATTCTATAAAAAAATTGTATTGCATAAATAATAATTTAAAAATATATTTTCAGATTTCGATTAATTCGTTGTTAAATATATATTTAAATTATTTATAATATACAAATATATTCTATTTAAAAAATTACTTTATATATATATATATATATACATGATGCCACTGTAGTTTTTGCTACTCCTACCAAAAAAGTTCACCCATTTCATATGTTTTTTTTTAGTTGTTATTATCCTGATTAATATTTTTATTAATTTTTTTTAAAATTGACTATTTATATATATATATATATATATATATATATTTCGTAATGTTTTGTTTGAATGAAAAAAATACCAAGATTCCAAAGTTAATGCTTTTCTTTGTTATATGTTTGTATGTTTTGCAGTTTATTATAAATTGTATTGTTTTATTATATTACACATTCTGCTTTCAATCAAGCTGCATTATTGTTTGCCCCACAAAGTATGAAAATTTGAAAATGTGAATTTACTATACTAACCACTGTTGTAAACCCAAATTATATCTTAAGATTGAAGTTTGAGTGTGGCTTTTACAAAAAAGTATGCAAAATTAATTAATATCCACTATCAAACTGTTAGTAAATTCCTTAAGCTCTCTCTCTCTCTCTCTCTCTCTCTCTCTATATATATATATATATAAATTTTCTATTCTCATAACTTCACTTTTTCATTTAACTTTTCTTTAAGAGATCTATAATGCCTTCAACATCAAGTAAAAATAAGTTATGCCACTACTTTCAATTGACAGTAATCACGACACATGATATGAATTTATTGTTGGTTATTTCAAGGTTTTGCATTTAATGTGGAAACCTACCCAAAATAGATTCTAAGAATTAAGTGCAAAAGGTGCTTTTAAAGATCAATTTATCATCAAATCACAAATTGGCCATCAAATGACACCTTTGAATCGACAGCGCTGATTTAAGAAACCTATCAACCTTATTCAAAAATTAAATAAATGTAAATATAAATAATTTTATGATATTGTGCACTTTTTTTTTCCAAGTGTGATTTGTTGGAAATATTTGTTTGATTGCGTATCTGTACCTAAAAAGAATCATACCGTTTATGTATGTTTTAATTTGTTTCTTACAAAAAAGAAAGAAGAGTTACATTGTACAAACATTTTCATATCATTTCTGACCTCGATAATTTATTACTATCCTATATATATATATATATATATACATTTTTTGAAACGGAGAAATAAAATATTTGTAAAAATTGGAGAATAAATAAAAACTTTTACACAAATTCGTAGAATAGTTTCAACCATTTACAATTCATCACTGTCAATGCATATATATATATAGATGTATAGAGAGAGAGACATACATACACATACTTTCTACTAGTGACCATATCAAATAATGAGACAGTTAAAAATTGCTGTGATAACATAATTGGATTTTTTCAAATTCCAATTCTGTATTTCAGTATCTTAAAATCCAAAATGACCTTCATGCATAGACTACCTATCAAAACCCATACATATATTTTTCTTGAATTTATATTTCATTCACACATATTATTTTGTCAACGAGTTGATATATATATATATATATATATATATATACAAACATCTATTAATAAATACATGTAATTGTAAAAATGCTATAAGCAAAGAGGATATACATGTATAATATAATATAACTATATGATTCTCATGGTTTTGAATTGCAAAAAAGTTTATGGATATATTTACACAAAAATCAAAATTTATTAAAAACACAATAAATTCTTATTAACTTTAAATTTTCCTACATAAAATGTCTTTCTCTAAGACAGTAACAGACTATGTGTTTTGCAAGAGAGTTGTTAAAAATATTTGATAGAAACCTTTGCATAAAAGTTGCAAAAACTTTGTAAATGGATTATGTAAAGTAAGGCATCTCTCTTACTTTGTTTTTTTATTTTTTATTTTATTTGAATGTTAACATGAATCAAATTGAAAATTACTATTTCAATGTACACACACACACCAAAACATTCAAGAAGGGTAACATAGTGCATTAAAAGACATGCTATCATCATCTATCCCATAGCAAAAAAAAAAAAAAAAAAAAAAAAAAAACAATCTAAAGCCCATGTCTTGTGTGTGTTGTCTAGTATTGTCCATTGAAAGACACAACAAAACCCACATTCATTGTGGAAGGATTGTTGCTGTATCCACACCATCAGTCATGTAAATCTGCACACATTTCAATACCCAATGAAGAGCTGTACACAGAGATTCTGCATGTGCAAACCTTAAACCCATGTCAATGGGTTAATTTACTTGGTGGTGGCAGTGAATCCAAGTACTCACTGTGAACCCTAAAATCTGATTTATAGCTCTTGCAGTTTCCTCTTATTGTGTGAAGTCAACAGCCTTTGTCAGTAACAGTCTAGAGACTGTAAATTCACAATAGTAGTCTCTGAAACTTGTCTTGAAAGGAGGTTAAATAAACAAAATAAATAAATGTGTACATTATATATATAAATATATATATATACACACATGCATACATGCACACATTGATTGTGAAACTCACAGTAAACTGTACTTGAAAAGATAAAAGAAAGACATGGATAAAGGCTTTGTATACTTGGACTCTGTACTACACATTCAAACTCTGAAGATTTCTTGTGAAGACTTGATTGTAATGTTTGGTTTGATTTACAAGCAGGCTGGGGATACTGTCAGCCGTCAGTACTGGAATTGCTCAATCATGCAGTGTACATAAAGCATTATGTATATTATCGTTTGTAGAGTTTGAAGAGAAGGCTGAGTACCCACCTCAAGAAACTACACTAATGAAGCAGGATGAGACCACACTTTGCTTCACATTTGGTCCTTCACCAGCTTGAAAATTGACGTTGATTGGGGGTTTAGAATGGTCTGCGTTTAAGATCCTTGGTTCGTTTGTGCAGATTGCTTGCATCAAATGGAGCTGGAAGCTGTGTTCGGCATTCTACAGAACAACTTAATTATCTAACCCATCCGTCAAGGAAACTTTGAATGTCATCGGACTCACACTCTACTGCGCGTAGGAGCAGCAGGCGAATTGGACGCAGCCACTTTTGGCTGCGAAGAGGTTTAAGGCTACAGTCGTCTTCCATTATTTGTTAAAGTTTCCATGCTTTTCTTGTTCAGTACAGCATCGAAGACTTTTCGCTTGTTTGCTTCGGCAGATGAGAAGCGACTTCGGATGAGCTGGAGGGGAAGCTTAGCGTTTGATACATGGGGTGATGACAACCTGGGCTCAGCAATCTGGTTTAAAATTCGAACGAGACGAGTGGTACCGTACCAGTTGGTGTAAATATCTTGCATGGAAGACAGCACATGTTGAAATCTCCAGGCTGCTCGAACAGAACGTTTCCGGACTCACAGAGATGTGTAGTGTTCAACGCGCACCATTGAATGGTGCTTTACGAATTTAATTCAAGGACCATATAAAACAGTGCTGCATTGAAAATATTTTCAGCACGAGATGGGCATCTCACAAACTGCTCATTAGTTAGGGAAACCATGATGTGTACAAATTAGGATTAATGCAATGCGGTTTCTAACCTTTCCTGATCGACACTCTTTACTATTTCTGAAACTCGCCATATTTTACGGAAGACCCACTTGCTACACAAGTTCAGAATTCATAATAGAAGGATGTTGAACATATCCTTGGACTTCTTCCATTAACGGGGCTTGCAAATGCCAAGACATCTGCGGAGTAAAGGGATATAAATGAGAGTCACCAATCCTCTGCAGCGTAATAGATACAAGACTCCACTCTAGCAATGCGGCTGAAAAATCTTCACCCACACACATTTAGGTCGAACCTTAGGGAGCCCTGCCAGGTGAAAGTTCAATGGCTTCACCGACAGGTGCTCTCTACTCAAAAGTTCGCCTTTCGTAAAACAGCAGATAGGCTTCACTTTGCAGCACGGCTTCCAAACTTGTTTTCCGGACATGTGAATCACTGATGTAGTACCATGTCGAGGCTCCCTTAGGAGAATCGTCTGCCTCACTCTCCTCGTAATTAACAGAACCTTTCACATAAGCGACGTAATGCCCACCTCGCATTGTTCCCGAGTGCTCCACAGTACCAATTAATTGGTACACGCCATCCTGTTTGGTACCATCCCTGTAACCAATCGAAACAAGTAGATCAATGCTGGCTTCAAGATTCAGCTACCACCACAATCATAGCCAGTGCTAAGGTTGGCAACCAACGTGTTCTGTGCTTGGAACCCTCATCGATTGGTTCCTAACCGTGAAATACAATTCATCAGAATCATCTAAAATCCACACTCTTAAGCCTTTCATGTTGAGGAGAACAAAGGAATACCAATGTACACGAGGTTGACGAGGACATGAATAAACTGGAGTATAAGCAAACGGGAATATAGCACCCACCCTTTGTCTGTGAAAGGGCCAAGATCGAGCTGCTCATGAAAGGTAATATGGCCACTTAGCTTGCTCAGTCGCCCATGCAAATCTTGGGCAAATCGTTTTAAATGCACAGTGAGAACGCGTGGGGCTTTACTAATAAGGAACCTTTTAGTTGCATCTCTTTTCACTGTGGCCACTTTAGAAGTATCATTCTCCAACTTCCTCTTCTCGGCCTTTCCAATAACCTCCTTAGGCTTGGATGCACCTGCTTTAGCGCGAGGTTTTCCGCGTCTTCTACCGGTAGGTGATGTACTATCGTCCTCGGATTCATCTGCGACTGCAGGTGCGCCTTCCACCATGATATATGGGTCTTCAATATCCTCTTTCCCTTTATGATGACTTGAAATCTGCGAATCGTCTGCTTCAACAGGTCTAACACCCGCCGACTCATCAAAACAATCTAAACTTTGTAATTGCGGGGGCATAGAACTGGCTCCTTCGTGCAACTTGCTCAACGATGAGGGCTCAACAATGATGGGTTCCGCCAAATTTACATCAACTCTACTAGCTGCTACTTCACCATTCTGCTCACTATTTAGTTGACAAAACTTCTCCTTAGCAGAAGATTCAATAATGCTGTCATTGTTCTGTTGATCCGTCTTTTCAACAGGTACGTCTCTAACATCTGAAACTACTGCAATGCTCGTAGAATTAGTCGAATGGCTCAAATCATCCACGAAATTCCACTCTCTATCAGTGTCATAGGTTGCCGCTTCAGTATTACTAATCGAAGTTGGCACATCTTCGTTACTATGCCCTTCAGTTTCTGGTGATTGTTTTAAGCAACATACATTCTCCTCCTCGAGCGCATCAGTTTGGTTGACATTCCGCTGACTACGCTCAACCTTGGCGCAGTTTTCACAACCCCAAGCATTCTCTCCCGACAGGACCTCAGTCTTTGTGAAAGCCTGCAAACAGCCTTCAAGTGACATCATGGGATAAGTGTACACTTCACGAGCACTCCTAAGTGATCCTGACCTACTGAGGCTGCTGGGGTCCTTACTTTGACCTCTAAACTTGCATTCAGATGCAGCGTCATCCCACGCGGAATCATCGTTTACAGCAACCTTGCTATTGCTTGTCGATGTACTTGCTTGGTCATTTACCTCCAAAGGGCGATTACTAGTACCTGGGGTACTAGAAGTGGGCGGGACCATATCAAGACAATCCTGTTTATCATCTGAACGCTCATGAACTTCAGGTAACTGAGGGCCATGCACAGGCTGAGGACCATACTGAGAGATGACCTCATCCGTTTGACAACTATTATCCAGTTGCTCAACAACACCACCTTCAGCTTGGTAATCTGTGACTCCATGTGGCGAAAGAATCTCTCTGGGTGAATTCTCAGCTACTCCTTCTCCACTCTCGGTTGAGGACTCCTCTAGAGGATTAGTCTCGACAACAGGAATTGATTGAGGACCATCTGGTGTTCCGCTTGTCGTTGCTTTGTTATCCAAATTGTTACGTTTAACATCCATTACCAGACCACCAGCACACTCTTTGAAAGTCCCCTTAATGCTTCCGTCCACGAGGTCTTCCCATGCGTCAGCCACATGGGTTTCGCTAGAACACGCAACACCTTTTGATACAGTTTCACAGGGCAAAGAGGTAACAGGAGGATCAACTGCTTGACCAGTTTGATCTGTGTCACCAGTCGGAAAGCCTCCCTTTTCCTCTCCAGAGCCCGATGAAGCAGGTTCATTAAGGGATTTGGAGTTCTCAGCACCACCATCTAAGCTGCACCCAGAAACAGGATCTTTCTCCGATTTCGTTGAGCCCTCCATAATGGCAGGTTTATTATCTACTGTCTGGGAAGTGGAAAATGACAATCCAGCTGGTTTGATGCTTAAAACTCCGTTGCTAGATAGATTCCCTCGTCGGCTTCGCTCTGAGATCGACTTCGACAACTGATCTCTGATAGATCCAGCCTTTCTTTCCTGTTTCGACGGAATTGGCAAAGACAAATCTAGAAAAGGCTCGTAAACAACCGACGAGTGACCACATACACAACAAGACACGGTGCTTGAAAACTGACCCCCAAACACGTGCTCTACAAACGTAACGGGCACCTTGATTGGGTTTCCATGGCTTCCTTCCTCTTTCACTGTGCCATTAGGTTCAGTGGGTGATTCTGCACTAAGTTGGGCCTTCCGCGCGCTCTCTTCCTCCATGTGCAGTCCATCTAACAAGCATCTTAAGAGCTCATGACTGTCTTGCTGCTGGAACCCCTTAAACCTTGGAGCTTTTGCACAAATAGCAGAGAATAGTCTTGTCGGACTTACAGCATTACCGACATTGGCTCCAAAGGACCTAGTCCTCATCGTTCTGGCTGATGCACTCTTACTGTCGTCATCTCCGTCTCCTCTATCAAGAACAGTGACATCCATTTCCTGAAAGAATTTTCGGAGTGCTACCTTCAACGGACCTTCTTGTACAGATGGTTCTTTACTGAAATACTCCCGAAGCATACTCACGCCAACCAAATTCTGCATCACCGAATTAAAAAAGCAAGTGTTTCCCAAATTCATCAACCCCTTGATCGTCCGCCTACTTCCTGATAAACTGATTGTTTGCGCGGCGTCCTTGTTAAATGGCGTGGGGCCTCTTTCCACATCAGCGACTTGACGCAATTCACTGCGATGGACCTTGAATGAGCTAGAACGGCCAAATAAACTTTCTTGCAATACAGTTGCTGCTCTGTATAGCAATTCGAGATTGCTTGCCGCATTCGAACTCTCGTCCAAACTCAAACTTTTAGGTGCATCAGGAATACCTGAATGCTTCATCTGCAGCTTGCATTCAAGACACCAGCAATCCAAAGACTGACGCCATTGCATTACAAGAGGGTGCTGCGACTCAGTCCAGTGTTTCCTTGCATGCGGACCACCAACAACGCAAATGCTGGACTCCATGTGATGCGTCGATACGTGCGATCCGCAACCAATGTGACCGCAACCAAGACATATCCACAGAACCTTAGTCGCTATTTTCGCTTTAGCTTGTTTTCCCTTATTACTAACCCGTTTTAGACAGTCCTGGCATTGCTGTAGAGGAGCTATAGTAAACCGAACGCGTAACTTTTCCACGCTGATTCCATTCTCAATGTGTGGGCAGACCGTTCCCTCAGCTTTCGAAACAGGAGATCCACAAGTGGAGTCATCTCCTGTTGTCTCTCCCAGTGATAATTGCACAGGCGTCATAGTCGATACCGATGCAGTATCCTTCTTCAATGCACCTACTCTCTGCGATTGTGGGGTTGACCTGCTGTTGCTTTGTTTCTTCTTCTGTCTCTTGCCCATGACCTATCTCTGCTCTGAGTTCTGCAAATTGCAACAAGGTAACGAAAGCAACGCTGGAAATTTAGAGAGCTGATTTCGGATGAATTCGATCACGGTAAGTGGATACTTAAGCAAATTTCCCAAACCCTAAACGAAAGGAAGAAGTTCCAGCACTTCGGAGTAACGATGAAGTTGAGTACGCAAGTAAACTGCCAGTAAAAAGGACGCAGATCTATTGAAGCTTGTGTCTGTATAAAATAAAACCCATTACACTGCTCAAATGCTTATCGGATACCATTGTCACATCAGCTAAGAAATGCGTTAAATACGTTCAAAACCTAGATCCCAAATGCACAACCATTACGACTATCCCCGGTCCAGACGAAATGCGGGGATAAAACGAATAACACCAAACTGCCGATAGACATGTTCAACGTCGTCATCTCAAAAACTGTAGAGTTCATTCTATGCAAATGTCTCAGAACCAGGTTTTAAACATGAAAAATAGTTTTCAACCCCCTCTCGAGCATAATCAAAACTGCCGAAAGCGTAAACTCCAACTCGACCTGGACGCCAAATAGAAGAGAAAGACCTTCGTGTCCAGTACTACCTTCTACATCTCAACAAAGCAGGCAAAAAGAAACAGAAAAACAACCAGAAATCAGTGTCACATAAGCAGAATATTACCCAAAGGCCAGGAAAACGAAGTCCGTTCGTAGAGGAAACTTGTTGAACAATAAATACTCCAAAATCTGAGCCCATCTCAAGGGCAAAATCCATGAGTTCTTATCGCACTCTCAGCTCAAGTCACGTGCAGACAAAATTTTCACGCACAATCGGCGAAAACACATCTATCCCAATCTTTTCGGTTGATTCTGAGGCGAATCAACATTCACCAATGTGGGCAATAATCTCACTCCCGACCAAACAGTGGTGCGATCACCGAAAATGGCATCGGGAACCGTGTGATCAAAGATTGCGTGCGTAACCTAAGTCTTGGTTTCCACCAAGTCCCAGCGAGAAGCAACATCGAGGTCACCTCCCCCCTTCCCCCCGACCACACCCGAGTGAGAAGGCTACTCCTCTCCCCACATCCTATGAAGACAAGACTATCCTGAGAAGCACTTGGGTTTGAAATTGTAGGAAAAGACGACAACGGCAAACTCTCTCCGACGGCAGAAACCCCACTGAGGCAAACATCAAACCCTAAGTTTGACACTCAGCTTCGTTCCCAACAAAGGTTCCCAAAAGAGACCACCGACACAGATGACGAAACGTGGACGCTCTATAAAAAGACGCCGCAATCTTCAAGATGCTTGAAGAATCAGTCAAACTTCGCAATCCGTAGCAGGGAAGCACGTTTCCTCTATCTTGCGCATGTCCATGCGCTTCGTACGTGCGAGAGAATCTCACCAGCTGCAACTGACTTCACTGAAATTTCATCGAACGTATTGTCCTCGTCAAGGATATCTAATCCTCTGTAAGCGCGGCGTTCCTTTTGATTGTCTTCGGATCGTGGCGCTAGTGAGATAACGAACGCCCTCGTTGATATACGGGAAGGAGAGGATGCCCAAGCGCACTACTCACACGTACTCCAGCGAGGATGCGGCACCGGATGGGCCAGAATCTGAGCTTTTCGTGTACTACTGCAAGCATTGTGGTGCTCACGTCTTGATCACGGGTGCCGAGTGCAACCCAGCTCATTATTTTCCCTCTGGCGCTTCGTTATGATGTGATTTTGTTGATCCACGTTCATTTTTCTTTTCTTAGGTGTATTTTAGGTTACATTCGTGATGAATTCAACCTTTGAGAGTAGCTGTGCAATTCTCACGGCAAAGTACATCAGCTCGTTACAGAAACGCGGTATTCTTGTGTAAGATTTTAGCAGAGTTCTGTGCCACAGCTAGTCTAATTGTAGGGTTTCAAATGTGGCGAAGAAGGGGTAAATACTCACTCTACATGCTCTATTAATGCAAAATCAAGTTTACTAGCTCCTGCAAGTCGCTTAAACTTACGAATCCCAGGCGCAGTTTTGAAACCTCCTGTCGAAGATCATTTCAGGGTTTTAGAGGGCATTGAAACAACGCTCACGTTTAGCTTAACTTTTGGTTTTTTCTTTCCCTTCGTCCAGATTTGGGTTTGATCTTCGCTTGTATCCGATCATGATGACATGACATCGTGAATTTTGTTTTGCAGACACTCAGCTGCAGAAAATGCCCAAGAGGACAGATAAAGCTTATGTATTGGATCGTACGAAGCACCTTACTCGCCTTAATGTTGTTGAGGCTGGGAAACACTTGCTCAAGAGGTACTTCAATTTCTCTCTAAAAATCAAGTACTGAGCCCAGTACATGCGAGTGAGTCAACCAGATAGCTACAATTATTTTCATGTTCAGTAGGTAATATGTTCCCACCTTCACATTTTGGAGTACTGTGATGCAGAGGCGAAGGGAAAGTGGAGAAACAGTATCGCATGAAGTGTGGCGGGTGTGGGTTATTTGTTTGCTATCGTTGTGAGGAAGACATGGACGCAGGTCCTTACCTGTACGTGGCAGATGGTGCTCTCAGCTCTGTTGCTGCAGAAACCAATCCTCAGGTATTCAGAGTCTGACCTGTGGTTGTCCCAAGGGTTGCCGACAGAAGGACCTAGTGTGTGTGGTCAATAACCACCTTTATTTGCTTTGTTTGGTTCTTGAAAGTAAGTGGACTTACACAAAGTCGATGTGAATATTGTATTGGCGTGAATGTGCAGGATGCACCAGTTCCACCGTGCATATCACAAATAGATGGTGGCTTGGTCCAGGTTGCTATTGAAGTTGAGGATCGCGCACAACGTTCACAAATTACACGTATGCTGTCCTGACAATCGCCCTCTTTTTGGTAGCAACTTGGTGTAACCCTGATGTGCCAATTAGTTCCTCTCATCTAAATGTATATTCCTTGATTACCTAGCGTTAGTCAGAATTATGAAAGACGCCATTAACAAGGCTATCTGCACAGGTGTGAACGCTGATGATGTCCGTGTAACTGTGGCCGCACCAGCAGCACGTGGTGAAGCAAACAACGAGCTTCTAGAGTACATGGGAAAGGTGTCGCTTCACTTACACTTATCTCCTTTGCGTTTTGTGAACTGATGGTGTTGGGAAGATTCGTAACAGGTCACGTGCCAATCAACTATTTAGATATTTGATTTACACTCCTTCGCATGCTTCAAATGAGGTAGGTCTATTAGCTGGACGGAGACCCAACAATTTGAAGAACATTATGCATATATGTTTCTAGGGCGGAATGGATGGTGACTGGTATATTTAAGTTACAGGTGCTGGGACTAAGATTGACACAAATGACTCTCCAGCGAGGTTGGAACAATAAATCTAAACTTCTTGCAGTAAGCTTCGATTCCTACACCTTCCTCTTTCTTGGTGCCGAAATGAAGTGTATTACTATCTGGCGTTAATGTGAAACAAAGTGCACCTGCTTTGCACTCATGATTCATGTGGGAGTTGAATCTCCATACGGAAACATACATTCGACACATGAGTCATAATCGTATTTATGAACATGTACACCAACACGGTATATTTCTATTTTTTTATTTATTTGTTGATTTTGAAGTATTTTTGTGGTTGCGAATGTGGCATGGGAAATCTAGGTCGAAGACCTGAGTGTCCGTGAAGTCTATGAAAAGCTTCTTGCAGCTGTGCAGATTTGAAAGGTATTCAGCTCTGGTGCATGTTTTTGGATCTGCAACCCAATAAATTGAGATTCCGAAGCAATGAATTTAAAGATAGGGTAGGCTGATATCTGTCCTGGACGCATGTGTGTATATGTAGTGTCGTGATATTCCAGTTGCTCTGTCGGTGGTTTAAGATAGTTATTCATGTAATCAGTTAATTGTTCTCAAAAAGAAGTAGCTTTTAGAAGCACCTTATTTTATTTCTGTATTGGACTGGTTAGTAGAAAATATCAGGTATCCTTTTGTAACAAGAATGGTGTTTCCTAGTGCAGCAAAGCGAGACCAGGAAATATTTGTTTCCATATGATCCCGGAAGTGTCGTAGATTCGGGTGAAGAAACTTATACTAAAGAAACATACCCAACCGTAAAAAAAGGTTTTGGGACCCAATATTTGAGATACATCTATAGAATCTTCATCCAAAGTCTGGTTAATGAAAACTTTGCTGGTGTAATTGCACAGCATTCAAGATCTTTTTTGAAGACGAGTACTAAACGGTTATTAGCCGTTGAAATTATTTGATTTAATCGAATTCAGAGTTGCACGATCGTGGCTTTAAAACCCACGTTGACGTTTAGGTGTTTATTTAATATCTAGGGGTAAAATTGAAAAACTTTGAATGTTTGTAAATCAAATTGGCAGCTTATTGTTATATTCTGGTTATTATCTCCAATTTTGCTCGATTGAACCCAATGATTATAAGAATATTGACTCCAATAAATCCAATAATATTATATTAGATTTTACAGCAATCATGAACTAGATTCAATAGCAGTTACGACATCACAGCTTGTTAACTTTTCAGGAGTATGCCAAAATAGTAATCTACATGCATTCTTCATAATTTGATAATTGAGTTAACCTGGATTTTAAGGCATTGGATGCAGTTAATTTGTTGATATTCTGAAAGGTGTCAACGAGTTAGACATGTTGCTTCAAAGGCATAAAACTGCCATTCCTGTCTCGAGCTACGTCACGCAAAATTACTAAGTACCAGTTGAAAACAATATAACAGAGACGTTCAGGTACACCATACACTGCAGACCTTATGCATACGTACATCACTTAACTAACTAGTTGGGATTTGTATCCATCAGTCAACTAGCAAGCTACAAAGCTGACAACCATAAATGCGCAAAAGAAGACGGGAAACCAGAGCCAATCATTGGTCCAAAAAGGAAGACATCCTGTATTACAATCATACACCTGTACAAGCTGTGGGGAAAAGAACATCTGCGAAACTCACTTTTAGAGAATAAAAGCGAGCGAGAAGTTGAACTACGACTTTTCTGTACAAATATTGGATAGTTATTGTAACGAATTAGGCTTGATGATTATCGTTGATTTTAAGTGTTATAATCAATGCCAGATTTGCCCCAACCTATTCTTGCACATACCATAGAGGCAAACAACTCTATGGACATAGAAGTACCAGTGTAATTTCATGATGTGAGCACCTAACCTGTCAATCAACGGCCTTTACAGTCGAAGTAATGAAGTGGATTCAGTAGCGTATATGCTATGAAGGAAGCAGGATATTTTTTGGTCTCCAACAAGTTCTCCCTCGAACTATTTCTGCTCCATCACTTTCCATCCGCAACAAGTGTACAAATTGTAAAAATCCTACACTGGCATCCGCAATTTTTATCTGAGACGTGATTGTCGGTAGCTCTGCTGCGTGAGAGAAGGTATGCATTGCCCTATTAGAAGCACCATTGCGTGCCCTATTTGTCATTCCATTCGACTCCAATGAGCCCGAGGTTGATGGCTCAAGACTGGCCATTGATTGCACCACGTCAGACTGTCCACACTCTCTCCTATACTCCAGGTTCATACTAACCAACTCGTAATTATCCAAAATTGTAGGTGGTACACTCTGCATAAGCACATCAAATAATGTATTCAGTGTCATAGATAAACGAAACGAAAATAGAATGCTGGCTGGTAGAAGATTACGTAGGAATTCACAGAATAGGGTACACAAACCAATACTTCCAGAAAAATTATCCATATGATTTTACCTCCATCATCCAACCAATGTACTTCACGTTGTTCACATGCTGGTTCATATCCAAGTCACTGCGTCTTGGCTGTAAGAACACGAAAATCATTTAGATGTTGTCGGAATCAGAAGCCACGAATTGCTCTAAAACCAAATGATATCAAAAACAACAAATCAAATGAACCACGGAACTAGTTCAACCAATCGAAAATAAGCTGACCGTTAGCCCCGAGCGAACAAACTCAGCATTGCCATCGAGCCTGATGATCTTCTGCGTCAACATGCTCTCGTGTTTAATTGCTGATCTGTCCAGAAAATAGGGAGATATCTCGGTTCTGACTTCCTCAGGCATCTTGGAAAGCTTTCTCGTCTTTCTGTGCATCATCACCCACGTGCTGCACACAACCAAGACCGCACACAATCACCACAATGCAGCTCTAGCCAATACAAAATGACCACAGAAAATTGATTGAAGACATGTAGATGAGAACAATAAAGATTCATGAGTAAAATCTCATTTCAAGTCTTCAAAATGAAGCGACTCTTCAGGTATGTGAAGATGCACACCTGGTGGCACGGGCTAGAATTTGTCCTGTTTTGTAATCTCGCACAAGCCAGTCTCTACGCATCCCGTTCTTACCGGACGCTGCCACCCACGTATCCATCTCAACAGCATCGCCCCTGTTCACACACAAGAGACCAACGTTAATAACTCTTCACAGCCACTCTGTTCTTCTACCTAATCAGGGCACAATCTAGAAGCATTTCCATGTAGCGCCTTCTTTACACTTATCATTAAAAGATCTAGAACATGTGTGGCACATTCACTCGGATCCTATTGACGATTTTACGAAATATGAGTATTTAATAGGCCACGAAGTCAAATTGGCATAGCATAAAGAGGGAGATCGTCTGTCTCGTTGCGTACCACGCAGGATACTGCTCAACGTGGACTTGCATCCGGCTGACGACCCAAATTAGATTCCTGCAAGACATTGCACGCGTTGCTCCAAAACCATCTCCAGCAATTCCCGACATCCACACATGATTCAAAGCCGTCTCCTGCACAAGGACCGGCACAAAACTCTTGTTGAGCTCTACTCGTACAATTAACAAAACTTATGAAGTCAACACATCCATTACTAACTACGGAATCTCCACGCCAATAACCAGCAAGTGAACCTGCCAGCCATGAATATGTGAGACAGTGAACCGCCAGATTGTCCAATTACCTGGAAATGATTCATCATAGTCTCAATAGAAGCCGTTCGATCAGCTCCAATCTCATATGACCGAATCACGAAAGTCTGTCGATAAACTAGCCTACTTTCCACAAGTCTACCCTGCCGAAGAGCATCAACGGGGACTCTTGTTTTTCCAGAGAAAACTTCATGCCGCCTCTGGGTCTCCGCCGCCAGTGCCACACTGGCTATGGCGGCAAGGACTGCCCTAAACGCTTCACTGTCTTTCTCAAGGAGAGAACGTGGCACTACATTAGAAAGAGGCTCGTTCACGTCCTCGGCCCTGTTGCCCCCCGTGAAGGCTCCATTTCCTGTAGCCGCTGCAGCATTGAGATCCCTCGTTGCGCCATTCAACCCTGCCGATACCTTAAGCGGAGCTTGCCCGTCGCCAACCGAGAACGAACTGGAGAAGCAATATCCTAATCTCGATTTCAGAGCATGGCACGCTCCAGGAGTTCTCAATGTGGACGTGAGCGACTCGCAATGATTGCACAGAGAAGAGCTAATCGCTGGACTGCTTCTTCCTACATCTACCCCACAAAAGTTTGTTCTAACTAAACCTGTTCCTGTAATCATCTCCATCGACTCTGTCTACACCTGTGCGTTTTCACATGCGAGATGGAGCGTGGCACAGTTACCAATACCCCTTCGTAACGATCTGCCGCGCTCGAGAGCAGTTTGCAACACACTTACATAATCAGAGAAAATGTGATCTTTACCTCACCAAATTAATCCACACTCTCACTCAAAGATCGGCGCCCTCCTCAGATGCCAACCTTCCCAACCCAGATCTACGCGAGCAACCTCAGCCCCACCGCCCCCGATCTCGATCTACATCTTTCGCACTCCCGGAACCTTTTTCTTCCAAACCGAAGACCCAGCTCCCGCTCCTCCTAGTGAAGGCAATACAAAATCACCCGCAAAACCAAAATCCACATTCCAACCAACGGAACGATCTCAAAGAAAACGTAGCACCGAGCACTCTCTCATCCTCGCTGCTCGCTCATCCGCACACCAAAACTCCTCCCCTGCTGCTCTCTCCCCCTGTGGACTCCACAACACATCACAAGCCATGCGGGATCATTGTCAGCGCCACCAACAGCAGCAGCAGCACCCACTGACACTACCAACAGAATGGATTACTGCGAACAAATTGGAAAGAGGCCCCCAATGCCTTTCCCGTCCTTCCCCCTTGCTGCATACCCAACACTAACTAAGCACTCCCACGTACCTCTTGGGACGAATCACTGTACAACCGGCATAGACAACTGTGCACTATGACTCAATTTGCATATTCCCTCCCTTCTAGCAAGACTTTGCTGTTTCGTGACGGAGCGTGGATGATGCTGGTGGTGCGTGGTGGGTTGCTTCGAGGCTAAACGAGACGCGACCCAGTTGAGATGATCAGCCTGGCTGGCTGGCTGGCTGGCTCCTCTGCGAGCATAATCAATTGGGTCTTGACATTTGCTGCGAGAGGGCCATCATCGGCAGCGCCAGTAGCAGCGGCAGCGGAGCATTCAAGGAGGTGGTGGAGCCTCGCGAGGTATGAGGAAGGCGGCACGGGCGGCCGGGCCGGGCCGGGCCGGGCCGGGCTATGACTGGGAGACCAGGTCCCACCCGTCCACAGGCCGCGTCTGTGTGCTGCCATGACAGCTTTGCGTCTTGAGTCACTTTTTTATAATATTTATTTTTAGCCCGCTGGCCACTTTCGCGACGCAACTGCGCCGCGCGTCTGTCCACGTTTGGTCGTGTCACGTCGCGGCAGGACCTCGGCATATGGCCAGGCGGTAAAGCCAGTTCTGTTAGTACTTCCATCCCTTGTAATTCGTCCGTCTTCATTCATCCATCTATCATCAGCTTGACTCCCTGAATTAGCATCTGTTTCCATGTGATTGTTTTATGGTACGTTGTTAGTTGGGTTTTTCGTACTGAAATGCTTTTATTACTTATATACATACATGCAGAGATATATATGTATATATGTATGAGTATATTTGTACGTATGTATAGAGTCACAAACAAACACATTGATGCTTGACACAAGGACGCACATGACTTCTACATTTATGTTGCTTTCAGTATTGAGGACATTTATTAGTGTTTTTCTTTCTTTGACTATCTAATATAGAAAGAAAAAAAATGTAAAATAAAATAATTAACAACAAATTATATCATTATCGTCAGTTTTTTATAATTTCAATATTTATATATTGGTTTATTGATGTGTATTATACTTTTATATTCCAGCATTCAACAATAGACTTTCTTGTCCGTTTGGGATATATATTTTAATTTTTAGATATTATCAGATGTTTAATTATATGTGTATTTTTTTCAAACAAATAAATTATAATTAAATTAAAATTTATTTAGTGGCCTTGTAACTTCTGATTTATAACACAAACTTTCAAATCATAATACTTTGTATGTATTGTCATGTTGCATATTATAGAAAAAAAATATTAGAATAATAAATTTGTGAAAATAAATTGATATAATGCACGCCTCTCATTTTTACATTTGCACTTCTAATCACATTTTTAGCTTCAATCTAAAACATTTATTCTACTTTAATACATTACTATAAAAATAGTTTAAAATATATACACACATACATACAACCTGTATGTTAATGTTTTTGAATTTTTTGGACTTTTTTTTGTATGAAAAAATAATATTAAAAAATAAGAGTAGTCTAAAACTGGAAGAATAAAAACAAATTCTTAAAAAAAAAAAAAAAAAAAAAAAAAACTTTCAGAAACATTAGACAATAAAATAATTTATGTTTTGTAACTCAGAATATGTATATGTGTAATTTAAAAAAAAAAACATAGTTTTGGTCACAAGAAGACTTTTCCTATAAATATATATATATATATATATATATATATAAAGACTTATTACTCAAGGCTCTAAAGCAACCACTTATGAAAAAGCAATTTATTTATGTTCAAAAGAATAATAACAAAATAACCAAAAATTGATGTTGGATTGGATTTTAAATATATAAAAAAAATGATTAATTTCTATAAACACACACACACACACACACACACACATATATATATATATATATATATATATATATTTTACTTTTATGTTTATAAATTTTCAAAGTGATAATATACATATGCCTGTAATGAGTTTCTATGATAAATGAACAATGAATAATAAATTACAAAGTAATACATCTAAGATTAATTACATTTTAATCAATATGGACATAAAAATATATAATATATGGATATAAAATTACAATTAAAAAATAAATATTTCAATTATTTTTTTTAATTGAGCAGTTTAAATCATCAATGATATTAATAAAATAGAAAATACAATAATTTAATTTTTTTAAAGATTAAAATATTTTTTGAGATACCATGTTAACATATATATATATATATATATATATATATATATATTATTTGTGATCTAAATAAATTTGATGTATGCATATATATGTATATATATATATATATATAGAGAGAGAGAGAGAGAGAGAGAGAGAGAGAGAATAAAAACAAAACCTATAAGCTAAAATATAGCTAAAATCATGTATTTTAAGAATAACTAAGAGAGCTGTTAAGAACAATGTGAGGTCTTATAGAAGAAGAAATATAAGAACTAAAACATCTTTAAAATTCAAAACTAAAATTAAAGATATAAGACACTTTAAATCCTACATAATGTACTAAATAAGAAATAATATGACTTCTATACTTTTGCTTGATACTATTACAGTATTTAAAAATCTAGCAAGGGCATAGCTTGTATCATAATTTCAATATTTATTAATATTGTTATCCTTGTAATGTCTATGGAGTAAAATATAGATTACTTGTTGTCACTAATAGTAGTAAATAATAGAGCAATAATAAGTCCAAGTATATTTGGTCATAAAATGAAGTAAAATCATTTCTAAACATGTGTAGAAATTTATTATTAATTTTAAATTTTTTTTATTAAAAAATAAAAATTAAAACATGTTGATTTTAAAAAATAATATTTTTAAATCAAATATTTATATAGATACGTTACACAGATAAATTTTAAAAAATTAAAGGTTTTATTGCAGTATTAACGAAGATTGCAACATGACATTACAAAGTTTTAATATATATATATATATATATATATAATGGTTAATATTGTATTTTTCCTACTTAATATATATATATATATATATATATATATATACATATAGTATGGTAGATTTGTCAATTATTGATAATTGTCTTTGTACAAATTCTACAAGAGATGGGAGTAGTAGCCACCTAATACAATGTATGTTTTATTTGATAAGCATTTAAAATAACTATTTGACAATCTTTAGAAATTTTACTAGCCCTAGTGTTTAGTTTGATGTGGGTCTACATCTTAAAAAATAAAATTTTTAATTTAATATAATTCATTCATTTTTAATTTTTTATATCAATTTTGCTGTGCATTTGTGATTTTATGTTTGTTTCCTCAACAACCAGTTCTTTTCATTTTCTATCAAATATTCAAGTTATGCAAAATATTTTTTAGAAGTAAATATTTATTCCATACTTTTTGAATTAAAAAAATATAATAATAATAATAATAATAATAATTGTAGCTACATATATTTTTTAAACATTGTTAAAAATAGTTACATTAATAACGAAAATTAAAGATTAAAATATGCATTTGAATAATTATTATGTTTATACTTTTTATTGGATTATATTAATTTTTAATTATTATAATTAAATAATTTTAAACTAGAAAAAACATACTCACACACACATATATATATATATATATATATATATATATATCTTTTCTCTATTATATATTAATTGCCAGTTATCATAAATAGGTATGTTGCTTCAAAAAAATTGGTCAATTTTGAAAATAAATTCTACAAAAAATAATAACCTTAATTGGGCCTATGGACATGGATACAATCTAGAAGGTAGCTTTTAACTTTTGGGTTATTTTAACATAAATCTACAAGATACATGTTATCTCCATCTTTAAAAATCAAGTACATTATTGCACCAAATACAACTATGTCATTTTTCTTCATGGTATGTTATATTTAAAGTGGCACCTACAATTTTTTCCAATTAATTTACAATACAACCAATTATTGCCAATTTTATAGAGTACAAATTAAATATAATTTTTTACTGCATTTCTAATAGTTGTTTTTTATTGTTTCATTATAATATAAAATAAAAATGAAAATTATGCCATGTTAATAGATTTTTATGCTTTCATAAAAATCACTTTGACTGTTTGTTTGTTTGTTTGTTTGTTTGTTTTTTTTTGTTGAATCAACCATTGATTTATAAAAATTCCTACTTGCATGTTATTAATTCAATTTCAAGTTATGTACCACAAAAAATATAAAGAAAAACATTATTTCTCCAAGTAAATTATTTTTAGGAATTGGATTCTATCAATTTATTATTTATAAATTACCAATTACATTTAAAATTCCAATGATATATTATTTCGATGTAAAATCTCTTATCATCTCAAATTAGTTTTTCTTGGTTGTAGATTATAATACATACCATAAACATAATTAGTGTATTTGATCAAAAATTATTTTAAACTAACTCTCATATCATGATAACAATAATGGCATATAAAATTATGGCAACAGTCTTGCAAATCATTGAAGCTCTATCATCAACAAATAAAGAACAACAATCAACTTATCTACCAGTGGAGTATATTATCTTTCTTACATGTGCCAATATTCCAGTCCAATCCAACGTTTGCATTTACAAGGTGGCAAGGAGTTGTGTTATTGGAAGAAAATAGTATGTATATATATATATATATATATATATAAATATAGTGATGGTTTGAACGAGGTGGCAAAAATTAATGAGAGTATTAGTTGGGAAATGAGTATCCATAAGCAATAGAAAAAGAGTGTGCTAATTTTTCAAATATGTAATAAACATGTTTAATGCCCTGATTTTCATGCTTTTTTGTCTAACTTATTGTTTACAAATAAAGAACATAAGTATATTATACAAAGCTAGTTGCCAAAAATATAATTAGACTTTTAATTTGGCCAATAAAAAAGTGAATATTTGTGTATGTATGTATATATGTTTAAATCATTCAAATAGATAAATAAATACACATGATTACACATGATTACACATGGCATTATTTTTATAGAATTCTTTTATCCTTGCAATTTTTTTCTTCAACTACTATTATTATTATTTTTCAATCAAATCTATTAGTAATTTATATACCATATTGATGTGAATACATATATTTCATCAAATATAATACAACTTTTATTAAACTAACTTTACGTAGGCACATACACAGTACAGAGACCTTTACCCAATAATTCTCCATTCAGATGATAACTCAAGCATTAATATAATTTAATCCTCAAAAACAATTTGGACAAATCTACATCCAATGTATAGTAGTCAACAAATCATGGGATAAAATACAATACATATATATAGATACAGATAATGAAAAGTAAAAATTGACAGAATTCAGTTCTGAAATTA